ATAAATTAAAAAAAAAAACTTTTCAACGCTGAAAATTCAACCATTAAAGCACTAGTCAATGAATGAGAAATACAATTTTAAATACGTTATTTTAAAGTACCATTCAGATCAACTCATTCGTTGTTGCGATGGTAGAAATTAGTTTTTTTTTTATGTTGTCAAGGGACGGGACGAACAAACCATGCTCCTAACCATGCCAATTTTAGTCTTCATATCGTGCCGATGGCATAGACTATATAATGCTTGCCATCGTGGTGAGAGGAATTGGCAATCGGCAAAAGCAAATAAATGTTTATTTTATTACAGAGGTCCTTACACTGCGATTTAAAACTCTGAGTTGCACTGCAACTGCTATGGACAGGGGTGTCACTTACCATAGCCTTCCAATAAATACACAGCTTTTATAGATAGATCCATTTGACAGCTACGTCAGACATATAACCACACACGCAGATAAAAAAATGATTACGTCATTAAAAATGTTGAGCCTCGAGACCACTCATTGTGAAATAATGTAACTTTAAAGCGTGAAAAACACAGACAGCGGTTCGGGCGGACGGGACAGGACGCCCGCGCTCGGTGTGTTGTCGTCCATGTAAATACACGGAATTATACCCGCCGCGGCCCCGACCCGACTCGCGCCCAACCCGCAACCGCTCTCTGTTTGTTTCGCGCTTAAAAGAATGCTAATTCGATATGAATTCTATGAGTAAAATGTCGAAAAAAAGCAGTGACTGTTTTCATTTATTAATAATTAAAAAAATAGTTTCTGAATCGGATACCAAGGCAAATTATACGAAATATTTTATTTCCTCTCTCTCTCTATCTATCTATTTTTTGGGTAACCTTTGTTAATTTGCTTTAATTTTTCTTAATAAGTAAGGCTGAAACCTTAGAATAATAACGTATAGAAACCTAGTCCGCACACGCTAAGTGAGGCAAATTGAAGCGCGCCAAAAGGGCCTACACGAGCGGGCGGGCCTTCAGTGCTCAATGTCAACTTGCACCGCGAACAGATCAAGAATTTTAGCTAAAAATGACGAAATGTGCGGTAAATGAGTGTAAAATACGTCAGACAAACATAAAATAGATAGTAACATCACATTCCACAAAGAAGTAACGCGTTTCAACTTGTATTTTTATATAAATATTCACTAAAACCGAAAATTAACCTACTACTAAAACTAGCCTACATGAATTTGACTTTTGCCTCACTTGTGACAGTTCGTTTGATATGAAACTATCATTCTATGCGTTATTATTCTAAGGCTGAAACATCTTCAAAGACAATCTGCTGCTTATAATGCCGTAACACTATGTACATAGTGTTACGGCACAAACAACAACAACGTTTTTATTATGTTACCATTTTGCAAAATGCAATTTGTTTGATTGGTTATATTATATTCACACACAATTTGTATGTTGTGGTTTTCACTGATTTCGCTCATGCGCTAATGTTGCCATTTCGACTCTTGTTTTTTTTTTTGAGAAATGTAAGGCCATTATAGAGCCTAGTTTAAAAAAAACAAAACGTTTATTTAATTGCGTAAAAAATAACGTATCGTTTCAAAATGTTGTTGGAATAGTACCAAAATGTGAAATTAGTATTTAAAATCGCGGCTTCGTTTGTATAATGGATTATCCGTGATTCGCAATTTGAAATGTATGCAATGCGAAATTGAATTTCGTTATTTTTATTCTCATATCTAAAATCTCAGGGACAAACCCAAAGAGGTTGATAAAATTTAAATTGAAAACAATAAATCACTGAACGCGGTTTTGTGTATCACTTTAATAAATTAACTTGAATGCATATTGGTCTGATAAAGAAGGTAGTGTAAACAGTATGGTTAAGAAAAATGTGTTTTTATTTATTGCATTTACTTACTTTTAAGTCAAATTGGTTTAAATAAAAATAGATTGTACGCTACGGAGCAAAATAGTTAGGCTTGGGGCGCCACATTGAAGAATAATAGAGTTCCGAGATGGATATAATTTTACTTCTGATTGAATTATTACACTTTTTATTTCCACAAGAGGAATGAAAATAAAAACCTTGCCAGCTATCAGGCCAGTTATGTTTTTAAATATTTTTTTGCTCGCGATTTCGGTCGCACAGTGTTGTGAAACGTTAAGTTCTAAACTCATGTTCGACATTCAAAAATCATTATTTCCTAAGCCCATTTTTTATTCTGCATTGCAGTCCACCTAGCCCACCACCGAGTAATGTAAGATTATGAATGTAGTCGCGGTGTGCAAGCCATCCCCGAATGGCAGTCTTACACAGCAGGATTTTTTTTTATTTATTGGTTTTGGCAACAAGGTCATCAACCTAAACTAATTTTATAATGCAACAGAAAAGCAATAGCGTGTTTTAGTGGATTGAAAACTTAAATACATATAAATTTCTACACATATTCAAATTATAGATATCAATAGTAAAAATTAACAAAATGATAATACTTTATCATATTCAACGGTTGCTTTCAGTTAAAGGTGAAAGTCCAATTCGATTAGAGCTCGTCAATTTGAGACTTCCCTTATTTTAAAGTTGGTTTTACACGTGTAGAAGTGCGAGCAGAAGATATCGAAGTGTACGTGCAGTTGTATACTAATAGTCAAAATTCCTTTCTAAAAGTTGTTTATTTAGAAAAACCACAATGGCCCTGTACTTTGGATTGTAAGCGCTATATTAGAACATCCATTCGGGAAAAAAGGTACTCAAGGTTTTGTCCTGAGATAGAGGTAGAAAAACCCATCAATGATCGATCATAACCTTTTTATTCCATGTGAAGTACCTACGTATCGAATGTCGCATTGAATGTCGAACATATTTTGAAAATACCTTTCTTTATTAATACTAATTCATTTCACTTATATAACTACTAACTTGTATGATTATTATTAATACAAAGATGGAACACAGAAAAATTTCTTCGACCCGGTGGGACTTGAACCCACGACCATGCTGCGCCATAGCATTTCTCTTGCCAGTTAAACCACAGGTCAAGTTACCGAGTTGTCGAAATTCTCCTATGAGTTTTATTATAGACTTTCGGCTTTCATCG